TGCGGTTCAGAGATACGGATACTGGAAGTGGAGAGACGGATATTGAGGTGATTGGTGAATATGTGGCAAGTAGGAGTATGAATTACGAAGAACGTGGAAGATAGACGACATAGAATTGTAATATATAAAAATATGATTGTGTAATTTAGAGGCAGAACCCTGCATCTTGTTTGTAACAAGATACCTTTTTGGTTTTCAGGAGTTGGAACCTGAAGTTGGCGAAGAACTTTGCAAGCTGTGGGATGTTGTTCTGGCCAGTCCAAGTGGACGCACTCCCAGGTCAACCAACAACACCAACAGACTTGGCAACCATCTGTACCAACACAGCCAGATCCCCACCCCTCCCCCAGTCAGTGGCAAGCCACACAAGCAAATGTTGGTTACTCCGCTATCCAACAAGTGTACACTACACACACCCCCTCCCTTCCTATTCCATTTCTGCCAATTATCCTCGCCACCAAGTTGTGGCAGCCCAGCCCATGACTGTAGATGCTCACGCCGCTGTTCCATTTGGAGCTCACGCTCAGTCTCAGTTTCGTTAAGCGGCTCCTCGAAACCCAGGAACCATCGTATAGCCAGGAACCATCGCGCAGCCTCCACACAAGAGGACGATGGGGCCGCCACCACGCGGCACAAGAGCGTCATATAATGCTTCTCGGAAATAATACAGATATGTAGTAACGTAATACAACGGAAGCCTGTTAACAACATAAACCATACTAACGTTACCAACTAAAAGCACCGGGTCACACGGTGCGCTCTGGGTATGGTTATAGTATCTTACACATGCGCACAGCCATATCCCATACACAAAGTACTGAGAGAGGCTTTGCATTGTGTTTGTGGTGGGGTATAGGGAAGCTTTGATGCTTTATTCTTTCCATAAAACCTACGTAGTCGGTAGAAAGAGTGGGTGCCAACCATTATACATCCCATCCCTTTTGTAGAAGTGGGTCTGTTAAGCAAATTGATTCATCAGGTAAGTGAATCATATCAATTAACGACCACTTTGCACCGGTTTGAAAGCCGAAAGTAAGAGGTGACGAATGGTCTTTGCGAGCATTCGCGAGCATGCCAAGCACTGCGATTTTTTTGCGCGCACGAGCAGAAATAAAAAATTTGTTTTGCGAGCTTGCGAGCAACGCAAAAATTTGGGGAGCACGAGCAAGCGAGCACTCGTTTAAATTTTGCGAGCAAATCGAGCAAAGGTAAAATTTTGCGAGCAGTTAAAAATTTTAATGGACCATTCATCACCCCTCAAGTTGGCAGGACTTGATGCCGCCTGAAAAGGAAAATAGGAATTTTTCGAACGTCGAGTTGTTTTATTATACTGTCAGCAATCTGTCTAGAATTTGACAATAAAGTTATCTATCAAAAACGTAAGGTTCGTTGTCAATTTAAGACAATACAACGCAGCCGAACGAGAATTGCTCGCGTTCGATGGGTGAATTAACAGCAAAATAGAGATCTTTCCTCGTCATTGAAAGGAAATACAAAAACGTTACATCTTTAAGAACCTTGGTATATTTATTTGATTAACCGTAACGGTACCATACACGTACAGGTGTTTCTAATAAATCCTGCGTAAGTACTAGAAAATAAATCCAATCTGAAGGTGGTGTAAAATACCTTGTATATTTGCTACAAACTGTCTTAATATCAATGATAACAGAACCGGAAAAAAAGTGATTTACCTGACTATTCATTCCTATATTGCAATGTACTATAAAGATATACATGTATACTGCCCACACTGACTAATCAAAGGTTAATCGAAGTGGGAAATGCAGTAAAGAATACAGCTTAAACTTTAATATCCAACTTTCGTTTTCGAATATCTATATCTCAGTATAGCGGATGGGTTATCTGATGTATTGTAAGACGTAAACCCATTTCTGGCTGCCTTTCGGTCAAACTTTCAGCCACATAAGGGATTTTTCTTAAGTATACTTAGTCCGCTTGAACACTGTCCCTCTTTAAAGGTACGTGACACAGGGCTGCATTGCTAGCAACGTTTCCTAAATTTTTCCAGTCACCAAGATAAACAGGGTACACCTCTTCTGGTAGAATTCTAACTCCACTGTCAATTGGAAAATTATTGATGACAAAATAAACCCTCCCTTCTATTTCCACTGCACCAAGGTTATTTTGAGGAATATGTTTTTGGTCAACAATGGACCACTTGTTGTTTTCTTCATCGTAAACTTCAACAGGTGCTGGGTTACCACAGGGCCCAGCACCATCAAGAGATTGATAACCCCCTGCTACATAGAGTCTGCCATTCACTATAAACAGAGTTGACCCAAAGTGAGGATTACAGCTTGAAGCTTTTTGCTTCCACAAATTAGTCACTGGATCAAAACAATGTAGCAGTGCATAATGACACCCCGAATAGGGGTGCAGTCCACTAAGTACATACAATTTAGAGTGAAGTACCGTTGCACCGTTGTTGTGATAATAGGTGTAAGGATAACTGAGAGAAAATTTTGCGAAACTTTGTCTCGGAAAGCTATACCTTTGAGGTATCATGCTGTAGTTAGAAGGTACTGCATACATGTAATCGCCTACAGTGCACAGGCTGCTGATTTGGCCACATGGAAGTGCATCCTCATGCCTTTGCCACTTATTTGTTTCTATGTCATAGCAGTAAGTAGAATAACCTACACCTTCAATATTTCCGGCAACAAAGAGTTGCCTACCAACAGTCTCTGCACAGTAGCAATTCGGTACATCTGTCCCTGGTGCTAAGGACGATAGCTGCTTCCACTGTTTCTCTTCAGTATCAAAATACATCATATGAGTCCGAGGAAGAACGGCAACAAGGAGCTGTAATAAAAACAACCAGAGACGTTTCAACTGATGTGAATGTGAGTGTCGGCGTTGGGACGGGAAAGTGTCACTGGTATAATGCAGCTAAGACTGAACCTGCATTAAGAAAAAGCGTGCTATTAGGGTTTTTATTATTCATTCAAAATATTTCGCGGTTTCTGATTGGCTTACCATATTTGGAAGATGCTAGCAATATAAGATCGATTCGATGGTATATTTGATTTGAAACGAGGTTGCAAACTAAAAAATGGCTTTCAAAGCTCATCGAAGACGAAATACCTGAACTTCTGACATAAATCAGAAGAGAGCCATGCAAAAAATGTAAGAATAAGCAAATACTGTATTGCTGGAAGGACTTAGTCTACTTTTTGAGGAGTGGCAATTTTCACACTAAACAAGGGGCATTGTTCATCCAAAATTAAAACCGTTCCATTTTCAAATAAAGACACATTATCTGTCTGTAGTCTGTACAATTTTCTAAGAGGCTTGATTTTGGGGGATCAATTTTGAAAATGCACAAAGTAAGAGGGGGTCCAAATATTAAGACACAGGACTGGCAGCCTTCTATGAAAAAGTTGCCAAACTATTTTAGAATTGAAGCAAATCCACGTTTCCTTCAAAAGTAGACAAAAAAAATTCCCTTCGGTGCTTTTTTGTCGGCGACAAAATGTTATACCCTTTTAAAGCTTGACCCAGGAACCTATCAGCTATTTCTACTACCAGGAATGCAGCGTGCATGTACACACATACGCCTGTGCATACAGCTGAAATCTGGAAATAATATATAATTTTTTTTCGTTTCCTGAACTTCAAGCATTTTCATCATTAAATCGGGAGAAACATTTTGCATCATATTGCTGTTTTTGTGTTAGGATTTCCTTTTACTGATCAAGTGGAGTGAAATGGATCCGAATGTGAAGCCATAGACCCTGCAATTGGTTGAGACTTTTGACCAAGCCAACTCCAATTCTATCCCGGAGTGTATGTAGCTCTCATAACTTTGTTGACTTATCCTGTGTCAACATGCACAGCTGAGCGTTGCTTCAGCGGTATGAAGAGACTACAAACTCCGTAAGAAGGACCATGACAGACGAGAGATTGTCATGAGCTCTCTTGCAATTCTTCACATACACAAGAACAAGGACGTAATTGATATTAATGGCATTATAGACAGCCCGTGTGAAGGGTACACATCTCGCCCTTTGCTTGTAGCCTCCTTGATGGGGTCACTGTTTTACCCTTTTTTGCCGTAAACACTGTACCTTAATGATAACACTAGAGATGGGGTAAAATAAACAACTAATTACTGCATTTTCGTTCGTCTTTATTGACTGAAAATGGCATGCAGAAAACGCAGGAGACGGCATTTCCGAGACCCTAAATTTAAAAATTTTTCTCGGGGGAGCATGCCCCCAGGCTTCCCCAGGTTTGGGATGCCGTCGACACGCTAACGTTTCGTCCCCTGCTTGCACCTTCAAAATCTAACGCTACACTGCTGACTATCGGTAGCTAATAGCTTATGAAATCAACGCCCAAGCATGGAAGAAGAAACTTGGTCTAGAAGGGGTTGGAGCGAGAGGTGCATTTTAAAATCTGTTATTGCCGAGGGGGTACAATTTTCATATGTAATTATTATTATTAATTTTTTTTTTGGGGGGGGGGGGTAAAGTGTTGATACACCACACTTTTCTGAAAACCCCCGCCGTCCCCCTGGGACGTAATAAACGATCGGTCCCTTAATTCAGTCGAATAGAACGGCTGTTGCCAAAAACAAAACACAAAAATAAAGAAACGGTTCAAACTTTTAACTGTATTCTAATGTATTCATAATTTATGAATTGAGTTCGGCACGGAGGGTGCACGACGTTTGAAACCAAGTCGAGCTACTGACGTGTAGCACAGAAAGGCTTGCCGTGCTACCAAACCAGTCAAACAAATTCCCTCCAACAAACTCCCTGATTTTTCAAACCTCCCGATAATATGTATCAATTTGCCTTACCCCATGTGGTTTGAAAAATCGAAATTCCACTGCATTAATTGACTAAAATATATGTACTTACTGGACTCGTTGAGCGTAGTTTCGCTTTCTCTGTGGCAAACTTGGAAGTATTTGAAGGACAATTGTGATATAAAGACGATTCAAACAGAAGCATATAAATGTCTGGTACTCTTTACATCTCCTCTGTGTTAAGTTCTTCAATCAAATCCCTGATGTCCACCAACCCCAGACGAACCGCTCCGATAACTTTAGCCGCGACTGTCATCCTCTCTTCCTCCTTGTACTTGATCCACAGCATCACAGATTTAAAGACGGATGTCTCTGAAGGAGCACTGAGGTCATCGCGGCTGAGAAGGCGAGTGTACTGATCAGCATCAACATGGGACAAGAATTCTTCACTTTCACAGATCTCTTTGTAAACGGAGGCCATCTTAGTCTGCGTGGCTTCTTGAAGGTCTTTTAGACCATGTCGATCAGCAATCGCTGAGACGCGACAATATGTCTGCACATCAAATCGAAGCTGATCAACAAACTGGGTTTGCAAGTAATCACAACACTGTTGAACAACACTGGTTACTTGGAGATGATCGGCTGCGACAAGAACTTCAAATATGTTTTCATCGTTGACTTGAAGGTCTCCGCTGTAGATGGAATCCAGCACGATCTTCAAAGCAGCTGCTGAAATGTTTTCATCTTTGAGCTCGATCACTTCCTGGTTCGATTCCTTCATGCCATGAGCGAACATGGCGTGAAAATAATCGCTGCTGGCAGCAAGCACAATGCGATGAGCTGAGAAAATTTCTTCTCCAACTTTTAATCCCACGTCAATGAATTCACCTTGCTCTCGGAACTGAGCGCACTTTGACAAAAGAATCTCAGAATGCCCAACCATATTTAAATCGGCTAAAACTCGAAAGAGCCAGAACGAGTCGGATTGCGTAATCGCGTGATCGCGCATCCTGGGTATCAATTACGATAATGTAACGTGAGCTTAATATTGAAGCGTCACGGCAGACCCTGGACGAAGTTCTTTTATGAGAAGCTCGTGTAATAATGTACAGCTGTGTTAATACAACTTTAGAATATTTCCTCTTTGAAGGTTTATGTGAACACTTAAACAGAATTATGCTGTAATGCAGTCCGACATATCGATGATCAGCATCATTTAATATCGAAGTAGAATGAAGAATGTTTCAACTGTGGTTTGAATATGAACGGGTAAATACAATGAACTAGACATTCTCTTTCTTTTGTGATCATGTAAATACAAACTTAAGACGGATTGAAAGAATGAAGTTTTGCATTAGACATTAAAAAAAATCCTATATTGACCAAGCCTCTTCAGTCAGGATGGTTGAAGTATTGCCTCTGGTGCAACGCAAAAATGATATCACGCTTGGTCAATAACATTTCTAATATACTCTGATCATGAGTACAGAATGTTGCCTCTGGTCGACGGATATTTGGTGTTGGTCTCAACAGTATTCATCTCTGGCGAAGAGGGGCGGGGGAGACTAACTGTCGTTACTATTCCCTGACCATTTGCAGGTGGATGGAACAAATGCAGCATATTCCTCTCAACCCTTACCCCTGCCGAGTACTAAACCCATCAATTTCTATCTTGTGAAAATGATATTTACGTGCATGGGTGAGAGTGGGGAGCAAGGGTGGCGCAGTGGTCAGAGCAGTCGAGTCTCTCCTCCCACATCATGTGGCCCAGTTTCGACTTCCGGCGTCGACACCATATGCCGGCTTCGAGGGTTTTTTTTTTTTCGGGTACTCCGGTTTTGCACTCTCCTTAAAAACCAATACCTCGAAATTTCAATTCGATTTGGAACTTACGGACACGTTTCAACGAGTTCTTAAGTGCTTCTAAGTGCTCCTTGGGTAAATAAATCACAGCAAGTTACAAATAATAATTTTTACTCGCACGAGAATTAAGAAAGAAAAAATCAGTTTCAAAACAAAGACTTCGCCCTTCCCCCGCCGGCTTAAAACAAAGGCTTGATCATTGAAATGGCGATTGAGCTCACCAGTAATATCGTTCCTAAGCCAGGGATGATGAAGGATGAGAGAGGACTGGTTAATCAGCCGATGGTAAAACGTTCCTGTCATGACCTAATTATGACGCAATCATTCGAAATGAGACAAAAAAGTAAAGAACTCACTAGCCTGTGTAGCAGGCGTCGAAAGGGGTAGGGGGTAGGGAGGAAGGGAAGAAGGGAGAGCATTGGGGAGAGACCTGCCTGAGTGTTTCATAAAATAGATTGAGCTCGTTACTATTCGATTTTTCCTTTTGCTTCGTAAAAATCTATTTACTTTTATTGTACATGATATTCGAGAATTTTCAAAATGATTCACGCGTCTTGTAATTAAGACTGATGTGGAGCTTACAGAGTATTAGAGTATAAGGTAGCAAACAGCCCCTTTAAGGACAACACTGTTAAACTGACCGCGAAAGAAGTAAACGGCAACATATAGTACAATTCAAGCTGATTAACGTACATGGTTCAGGGGCACCCTTAACGAGAATATAGTCCAAAACCACTTAAACATAGCATTGTTGAACAGTAGATATAGGCATATTTTTATCCTCTAAAATTTTTTTATCTGTTCGGACTTCCTAGCTGAAAGTCTAGTGATCCGAGAATTATAGGGATCAAAACTTACCTTTTTGAAAATTTCAGCCGGGAAAAAGGTTCCCAAAAATTCTAGGTGACCTTTTTAGGGTAAAAATACGATAAAAAATGGGCAATTATACCATTTTTTAGATGTTCTAAAAAACTAGGAGAGGCAGGCAAGCAAGAAATTTTACAACAAATGTTCCGACAATTCTAGATCTCAAATCGTCTTCCGAACAGATATTTTCTGAAAATTGACGTTGGGTGCCTGTACCGCCACCGACATGATCCCCACCATCCAAATGATCTCCGCCACCGAAATAACCCCCAATCACCACCGAAATGATCCCCACCACCGAAATGACACCTGCGGTCACCACCGAAATGATCCCCGGAATATCGGGAATGGAATTAAGACGACTACAAAAACTGGACAACAATTTAGTGCGTGCTTTTTATTTATTTATATTGCATCTTTTTTACGGTGTGTAATTTAACTTTTACTGCAGTTTATTTTGCGGTAAATTATTTTTTTTTTTGGTTTAACACTAGACAATACTTGTTCAAAAGATGCAATTCACTTATGTCTTCTATTTCTTCGATTTTTTAAAAATATTTTTGCAAGAAAATCTTCTTAATAAAATTGTGTTAAAGCAAAATAAGTCAAATCTTACAATCAGGTTATGTCTTCCTGATGATGTCATGACGACAGTGATGACATCAGTTACAGGCTCTCATTACAACACGTGCTTTCCAATTAGTTTCGGTACTTGCACTAGCTGCTGTAGCTGTCATCTCAAATGATTAACATAATAAAAATTATTCTGTTAGTCACAATTATTTTTCTGCTGCTGGCTGCCTTTGCTATCATAACAAGTGGATCAGGAGAAGAATAGGAAACAGAGGTATGTTTTTTTACGCTTTTCATTGATACATTGTTCGGCATGACTTTGCACGTGTTATCGTCTTATGTGTGCAAAGATCGTCTTTGGCGTACGAAATGGTCTTACGCAGTCTAGGTTTATTACTTAGAAAAAATTGTGAATGGAAAAACTTCTCTGAGATTATCCTGCATAAATATTATAAGCGAATCAGACGTGTTTCTTAAGCAAACTCAAATTGCCGAATGTTGTGGTGGTGGTGGTGATGGTGGTGGTGGAGGGGAAACAATAGAAATTTGGTGGTGGTGGAGGGAAAACAATAGAAATGTGGTGGCGGTGGTAGTGGTGGTGGTGGAGGGGAACAAAAGAAATGTGGCGGTGGTGGTGGTGGAGGGAAAACCATAGAAATGTGGCGGTGGTGGTGGTGGTGGTGGAGGGAAAACAATAGAAATGAGGAGGAGGAGGAGGAGGGAAAAATGGGAATAAAAAAATTGCGGAAGGAAAATAACAAAATTGTGAAAAGGAGAGGGGTAAGTAAAACATTGTTTGCAGTGTAAAAAAAGAGCTATTTTGCCTTTTCCCTCATTAATATGCACGATTTGCCCGCCAAAAATCAGTGAACGGGAACTAGGACAATCACAGCAGCAGCAAATAGGACAAGAGCTAGTTTGTCTTTGCCCTCATTAATATGCACGATTTGCCCGCCAAAAGTCAGTGAACCGGAACGAGGACAATCACAGCAGCAGGAAATAGGACTTGCATAATTACATTACGCCTCCGTGATTTTAAGTCACAGACAAGTTTGACTTTACTCCTCAGACAGTATGTCATAGACGCTAATTTATTCCACCGCATTTTATTCATGAGTTCAAGACAATAGGTTATGTCATAAAACAAAAATAAACCAGTTATATCAACCAGGCTAAAAATAGAACCTGACAAACCGGTCAAACCAGTATACTTAATTAAATCCGCCACATTTTATTCATGAGATGAGGACAATAGCCTATGACGTCATCGGCGTTAATGTATTCCTCCCAACCTTAATGAGAATCCTCCCCAAAAAAGGGGATAATTCGGTGCGCCCTATACTACTTTCGCACTCGCGTACTTAACAAGATATCGAACATAAATAAAAGAAGAGAAGAAATAGATAAACATAGCAAAGGAAGTGAACAGCAGTAAATAAGAGATAACGGAAAAATGGTGGAGTTGCTTAACATGATTTTACCCGCGCCAGATAATTGTTCAAAGCAAGATGCAGGGTTTTCCCGGATTTTTTTTGCCACACGCGACAGCCTTAGCGATCATTATCTCACCAGTTCTGACAAAAGCGATTTGGGAAACGGGGTAGGGGTTGTTTTGAAAAACTGTGCGTAGTTCTAGACAAATCCAAGGCCCCTGTAATCCTTATCCAATATAAGGGATACCCGAGGCATTTACTTTTACTGTCAGTGAAATGCAGTGAAAGCCCCACCTTGCGGGGAAAAAATTCAGCGTGAAATCCCCCGCCTTCTTAACGTCAAGCACAATTCAACAATTTTTTTAACAACTGGAGCTTTCACAGGATTTTTGTCGTACCACTGAAGTCAAGGTTACTTATTTGTTTTCCAGTTTTCTTCTTTTTCTTGTAGTCTGTTGAAAATTAGAATAAAAAATCACTTTTATTAATACTCCACTCAAGGCAGACCGCTGTTTATTAGGCAGATTATGACATATTGTAACAACGGCCTGATAATGTATGATAAACAATTTTCTGTAATGTAAAATATAAACTAAGGCGTAAAAAACCACTGCAAAAGCCGTGAATGATCAATGTGGCTCAACGTTGGATCAAACAAGATCCTGATCAGTCGAAAAAGATAAAAATAGAAATAAAAGTCAAAACGACAACTACAAAGACTGATCGGAGAGAATGAGCACTCTTGGACTGATCAAACAACGTGATAAAGGCTGAGGTATACAATATTTCGAGTGGCCAATACCAGTCTTTATCAGCTAGGTTTTTTTTAGGAAAAACCACGAATATACAGAATATATACTACTGTAAAATAATAAACGGAAGTTACACAGTATGACGTGGTAAGGTGTGGCTGCTTGTAATACTTTTAATGTTATCTACATGATTCAATGCCACCTTTGTAATTTTCAATATATTGGGGAAACTAAACGCCGGCTCAAGGACCGTTTTAATGAACATAGACGCCCTATACTTAACCCCTCCGGTAGTTACATTCAAACCGCAGTTTCAGAACACTTTCTCAGCAATAGCCACTCTGTTTCCTATATGCCCTTATCCCAACTGAAACACTTAGATATGAACACGATTGTCTTAGGAAAGCACCGCCAGTGAGGCGCAAGTCATTCATAAAGCCGAAACCATCGAGCCTCTGGGAATGAACAAACGTGACGAACAATAATCGTTGTGAGCTGTTGTGTAATATTTATCTTTTTACGGTTTATTTTTCTTAGCAGCGACACCTTACGACGCATACCATGTAACTTCCGTTTATTATTTTAAAGCAGTATATCTTCTGTATACCGTATTTATTCGATTAACCGCCCTGGGCGCTTATTAAATTTTTGGACCTTGAGAGTGGGCGCTTATTCGAGGTGGGCGCTTATTCGAGGCTGGGCGCTTATTAAATTTTCACCATTTTCAGCAAGTGAAGTATGTTTATTTTGCAACAAAACAATAAATGCTAATAACAAAACGCGAAGAACTAACAAAGCAAGGTTTCTGTAAAATACTCTGAAGAAAACTCCGTCCTCGGGGAAGTCTCTTATTAGAATTTATTCACTCAAGTGGGTGAGGTGGGGGTGAGCGCTTATTTGAGTTTGATTGGGAGGAGGAGGGGGTGGGCGCTTATTCGAGGCTTTGGCGCTTATTAACTTTTTCTGCCTTTAGGATGGGCGCTTATTCGAGGTGGGCGCTAATTCGAGGTTGGGTGCTTATTCGAATAAATAAGGTATTCGTGGTTTTCCCTAGTAAACCTGGGAAGACTGGTGTTGGCCAGTCGAAATATTGTATACCTCAGCCTAGCCTGCGTAGCTGGCGGCCACTCCCTTTTTTTAGATCANGAGAGTGGGCGCTTATTCGAGGTGGGCGCTTATTCGAGGCTGGGCGCTTATTAAATTTTCACCATTTTCAGCAAGTGAAGTATGTTTATTTTGCAACAAAACAATAAATGCTAATAACAAAACGCGAAGAACTAACAAAGCAAGGTTTCTGTAAAATACTCTGAAGAAAACTCCGTCCTCGGGGAAGTCTCTTATTAGAATTTATTCACTCAAGTGGGTGAGGTGGGGGTGAGCGCTTATTTGAGTTTGATTGGGAGGAGGAGGGGGTGGGCGCTTATTCGAGGCTTTGGCGCTTATTAACTTTTTCTGCCTTTAGGATGGGCGCTTATTCGAGGTGGGCGCTAATTCGAGGTTGGGTGCTTATTCGAATAAATAAGGTATTCGTGGTTTTCCCTAGTAAACCTGGGAAGACTGGTGTTGGCCAGTCGAAATATTGTATACCTCAGCCTAGCCTGCGTAGCTGGCGGCCACTCCCTTTTTTTAGATCACTGCTCCGCGGCCAAAACTTAAATTGCTCGTAAAATGCGTGAACGTTGCTCACTAGAAACAAAAGGGAAAGGCTTACGCTCAGCCCCCGCATTGTAGCGAGGCCGTGAAAAAAGGTGTATTTCCCAACTACCGGGAAACCTAAATCGAGTAAAAACTAGGTGAAAACTCTCGGTTTTCCCTGGGTATCCCCCAGGAGTAATCGGCTCCTGGTATCCTCCATTGAGGGACGGGGGCGGGGAAATGACTGGTGAATTGACGTGGCATAACATGTCCTATGAAATGTACATGAATCCACCTACCATTGTTATTTTTCACCTTGATAGTTTTACTACCGTGATAGAACATTTTTACCTTGATATCATTTTACTACCGTAATGGAACATTTTCTCCCTTGATATCATTTTACTGTCCTGATAAAACATTAAAATATCATTTTACTACCGTGATAGAACATTTTCTATTGTGATAAAACATTTTATACCTTAAAATACCATTTTAGTACCGCCGGATGGAACATTTTCTCCCTTGATATCATTTTACCGCCGTGATAAAACATTTCCTTCCTTAAAATATCAGTTTACTGCCGTAATGGAACATTTTCTACCTTGATTTCATTTTACTGCCGTTATGGAACATTTTCTACCTTGATATCATTTTGACCGTGATGGAACATTTTCTACCTTGATATCATTTTACTACCGTGATAAAACATTTACTTATACCTTAAAATACCATTTTAGTACCGTCGGATGGAACATTTTCTTCCTTGATATAATTTTACTGCCGTGATAAAACATTTCCTTCCTTAAAATATCATGTTACTACCTTGATGGAACATTTGCTACCTTGATATCATTTTACTGCCAGATAATACGTTTTCTATCTTAAGATATCATTTTACTACCGTGATAAAACATTTTATACCTTAAAATACTATTTTAGTACCGTCGGATGGAACATTTGCGTCCTTAAAATATCATTTTACTGCCGTGATAAAACATTTCCCTCCTTTAAATATCATTTTACTACTGTGATAGAACATTTTCTACCGTTATAGAACTTTTTACACCTTAAAATACCATTTTAGTACCGTTAAGGAAACATTTTCTCCAATGATATCATTTTACTACCGTGATAAAACATTTTCTTCCTTAAAATATCATTTTACTACCGTGATGGAACGTTTTCTGCCTTGATATCATTTTACTGCCGTGATAAAACATTTCGTTCCTTTAAATATCATTTTACTCAAGTGATAGAACGTTTTCTACCTTGATTGCATTTTGCTACCGTGATGGAACATTTTCTCCCTTGATATACTGCCGTGATAAAACATTTTCTTCCTTGATATCATTTTATTACCGCGATGTGACATTGAAAATGTTCCATCAGGGTAGTGAAACGATATCAAGATAGGAAATGTTCCATCACGGTAGCAAGAGATACTTTCAGCACGAGAAGATAAAATTCGTATCCACAAGCGGCCATGTAATGTTCTGTTTATTTTATAGATACTGATGAAATTCCTACATAATACACAACTTTTTTTTATTCATTTTCGAAACAGCAAAATAGTGCAATTGAATTAAGTGGTCACCTATCGCAAAATGCCTGTAACAAAAATGTTATGAAACTCGGTTTATAAAGTTATAAAGGAGAAATAAAGACAATAATACTTAGTAACCTGAGCGGGAAGCTCTCTTGTAATTGGCTAATCATGTTAGTAACCATGGCGATACCAATATCCTCACAGGTGAAAGATAAAAATAGTATCTTCACTGCGCGCGATGAAGATATGAATTGTTAGTAAAAGGGAAAATCCTGGTATTTCATCAGTATCTATATAATGAAACGCTTTTTCCTGTATTTACATAGGCTGATATTGACACTCGAGGGGAGTATGCAAACCTTCGACTTCGTCTTGGGTTTGCATAAACTGCCTCGAATTCTCCCAACCCCTCTCGTGTTTATATCAGGATATGTAAACACGGGAAGCTTTTTCTATTGGTTAAATATGATGAACTGGAAAATGTGGGGGCGGTGATCAATCAAAAACTGTCTCTTCATTGGCCATTCTTCATATCATGGTCATTTTTGCATAACACCTCAATGACCCAAACGAGAGGGCGCTGTCTTGACACATATCCGGCATCACCAAAATGGTGGCGCATCTTTTGTTCAAGTTAGGTCAGTTCAGAGAAAACGGAGAATTCATTGACGTTCGTCTGAAGGTAGACAAGTCCATCTTTCCTGCTCACCGAAATGTTCTCGCTGCTAATAGCGACTATTTCCACGATTGTTCAACAATGGAATGAAGGAATCAAACCAGGAAGTGATCGAGCTCAAACATGAAAACATTTCAGCACAGGGGTTTAAGGTCGTAATAGATTCTATCTACAGTGGAGAGCTCCTCGTTAACAAGAAAAACGTGTTTGAACTTCTCACAACTGCCAACCATCTGCAGATGCCAATTATTGTTCGACAGTGTCTTGATTTCTTGGACAAGGAGTACATTCAAGGTTGCATTGACATCCAGACGTATCTTCATCTTCTTGCATTTGCTGATTTGCACGGACTTAAATCCCTAAAGGAAGCTGCGCAACGTAAGATGGCATCGTTGTACAAGGAGGTCTGTGAAAGTGAAGAATTCTTGTCCCATATTGACGCTGGTCGGTTCTTAAACCTTTTCAGCCGAGATGACCTTAATGCTCCATCCGAGACATTCGTCTTCAAATCTGTGATGCAGTGGATTAAGTACAAGAAGAAAGAAAGGATGCCAGTCGCAACTAAAGTTATCGGAGCGGTTCGTCTGGGGCTAGTCGACACCAAGGATGTGGTTGAACAACTGAACACAGAGGAAATGCGACGAGTGCCAGAGATTCAAATACTTATGTGTGAAAAACTGCTGCATAGCAACATGCCTTCGCCCAACTCGAATTTTGCTGTCGAGAAAACAAGGCCGCGTTCAATGATCCCGGTAAGTACATAAGAACTTCAGTGATTTATAACAAAAAGCTGTTGATCGTGACTCAGTATTTCTGATAAGTAATGAATATTTTGTGTAAGCCGCCTGGTTGAAACAAATGACGTTATCTAGGTGTCTCTGTGCAAGCACCGACATGGTTCATTTATCCTCTACATCTTTCTACTGCGCTTCACATAACTTAATTATCACACTGCCACGCAGAGTCTCGGTTTACTTCACAGCCGGCATCTCACTTCACCTATCCCCGCGGTCAATTTAATTGGTATCCTGTGCAATTAATAAGGGAAGGTGTTTTTGAGATTGCATTTGTGTCGACACACATTTGCCTCGCTTTGAGGCGCTTGCTTACGTTTTACCTCACTTTGACGCGCTAACTCATGCGGTGATTCGAGTCCTAGGCGTTCATCTTTCAAACGTTTGCTAGCTATGTTTGCTGAGGTCTGCTATTCTGTCTTCGTAAAGCTTTCATCTTTTAAAAGTGTGTTGAATCTTCGTAAAGCGTACATATTTTAAAAGTTTGCTGAAGGTCTACTATCTATCTGTGTTTGCTGAATCAAAGCGTTCATCTTTTAAAAGTGTGCTGAATCTTCGTAAAGCGATCTGCGTTTGGTGAATCTCCCAAAGCGTTCATCTTTCAAACGTTTGCTGAAATAAAACATTTTTCTTTTGAAAATGCGTTCGACTCCTGGTGCATGTTTTAGATCGGCGGCCGTTGTGCCACAAAGAGGAAGCTAATGGGGATACCCAATTCTCAGTTAACTACTATTTTTTCGGCCAAATATCAGTTAACTACTACTTTTGGGCCAATTCTCAGTTAACTACTAATTTTGGTTAGCTATTAACTTTCACTTTCCTACAGCGAATATTATTCCGTCATAACCCGACTTTTCCTTCTTTCAGCAAGTCAATCGCTTTTGGGGCAGGCCCTACTAAAATCAAGGTATAAATACATGAACTCTGCCTCTAGTACAATTTATCACCAGTCATGATCTCGTACGGATCTTCCAGACATGGTCATGCATGTCCCGCAATAACCTACTTCAAAAGTCACCTTCTTCGGCACTTTTATTATCTGATCGGAATCAGTCTTGTGCTTATCTGGTTGCTGTATGTCCTGTATCTTGTTGTTGGCCTACGTCTCAATCCATTTTTAATCCTTGCAATCCATTGCAACAGCCGACGAGAAACATTATCAATGCTAAAATATAGTCTTAAATAACAAAACTGGACCATTATTTTTGGAATTGAATTGGTGAATTTAATCACTATTTGCACCGATGGAAGAGACATAGTTGAGAGTGCTGACAAAGGCATGACATGACACCGGGACAATTCGACTTTTCGTGAGTGCAACCCACTTCGAACTCGTAGTTCTTTTAAGCGATTGCTTTTCTGTGGTTCCAAAGTCTTCGGCGCAGTTCAAAGCACTAAAGGCCAAATACTTAAACGTAGTCTAAGAGGGTGCGAATGGGGTTAACAGTTAACTGATATTTGGCCAAAAAAACAGTAGTTAACTGATAATTCGCCAAAAAATTAGTAGTTAACTGATAAATGAAAAGTTAACAGTTAAGTGATATTATATTAAGGTTAATGAAAGCAACAAAGTTTTGCAAACAGAAATGCTATTTTCTGACATAGTTTTTGTCCTACTGATGACCCTGTGGCACATTAACTGATATAATTATTACTATCTGCAAAGGACACCAGGGCAGTACCTGACAAACAGAAAGCGTCAGTCAAAGAGCTGGTTGTAGACAACTCAACGAATAATTCGTCTTCTAATATTAACAAGATTTCTGTGTTCGGAAAAGGAAAATACTGTTTTCACGGACACAAAAGATCGTCAAGTTAAACATTTACTACCCTATTAAAAAAACTGTGACTCTTAGCATTGGATCTGGCCAAAAAGAATTTCCGAGGGTTCAAAGAAATCAGCAATGATCTTTCTTTTAAGTACATGGAATTTGTACTTACGAGAAATCATTTTTGTAACTGGTGTTGGAGTTCTAACTATTGAGACTTTTTTAATAAGAAGAAAAGCTCGCGTTTAAAAAAGGTTTCGGCAGTTTCATTTCTTAGAACCCTTGGATATCTTTATGAGGTTTTTGAAATACCCGAAAAAAGCACGTCTGCGAAAAAGGTAGCATTGAGGGACGCGAAAGAGGATGTCGACAAAATCTGTATCGAGGTACAAAAAAACGAATATTTGAACCTCCAGATCTCTTCTTTGGTGGGTTCTTTTAAGAAGATAAATGCTTTTCTAGTCATCTCTATATGCTTTCATAAAACTATTCACAATAAATGATGTTTAGATAAAATTGTTGGACAAATTGAAAATCACTTAGAACGCGGTTTTGTTAAGCACTGGCTAGACACAAAATGTCGAAGTGAGAAACCAGTGTGGGCTTTCCACTTGCATTGTCAGAAGTTAAACCGGGGCTTAAGTTAGACGTCCACAAAGTACATTTACCTAGTTGTGGAGCTCGGCGGCCGTAGTGCCACAAAGTAAATCTACCGAGTTGTGAAGTTCGGCGGTGCCATTTCATCATGACTTGTGATATTTTCGGCACCGGACAAACCAACATTTTAGCTATGTTATTCTTTCGGAAAAACGTGACCAGCCCACGGTAGCGCCACTCAAGTCACTGAAATCAAGACAGTACACTCGACCAAATTACTGGAAAAGTTATTGACGAGAGCCGTACACACATTCCACTGAAATTCCACTGAAAACTTTGATGATTCCCTTGAAACGTGTGAAATGGAGAGGTGTAGTGTAAGTGAACCAGTGTTCAAACGCAATTCATTTTGCCCCGGCGTTCACCACAAAAAATGTGGTCTTCTTTAATATCAAGACTTGCCAGTAACGGTTTCATTTTATAGTAAATTTCAGTAATTGTCTACATGTGGAATTCCCAACAATTAAAATTAATGATTGCATCTAAAACTTTGTCAACTGTTTGCATTTTAACAATAAGTTGATGATCGTTGTGGTGTTGGATGCTCTTAAAAATAAGAGAAGAAGTTATCCGAAGAAATGTTTTTTAACAAAAGAAAAAGAAACCCGGGTTAAGGGCTAACCGGCCTTCGAAGAACTGCGCCCTGTAGAACATCTATTGCACTAGTAAAACAAAAAGTTCTATTGAAACGCCCGACGCACTCTGGCCAGTGTCTCCTCAACTAGATGCACTTTAGACGAACCACGTCCAACCATACGGTATCACTCTGATCACTAGCCTTAAAAACCTTTTCATGATGATACACAGTTTAAATAGAGGTTTTTCTGTACGCAACCCTTACGTTCAAAATATGCTATAATCATATTTATCTATCGCAAGAACCATCCACTCCTGCATCCACCCTTCCCCCTCAACTGCTACCTGTACGCCTGCTAAACATATCGAACGCACTCTAATAAACTCCGATTACTCCTATTTTATACAAGTGCGCACCAATCAATTTAGCCGATTATGTTGGCAGCGGATCAGCGTTCCAAATCTAATTGGACCCACCACATCATTGACAAATGTCTCTCAAGGAGGTGCAAATTTCGCTTAGAATGATGGCATAACGGGTCTGCGTCCACATTAGAAAGGAATTAATTCTTTTCTTTCAACCTTATTCATGGAGGATCATAGAGGCCGTGTCTTGCATTTTACATCTTGCAATGTATACTGAGCTTCTTGTACAGGTCTTTCAGACCGTGACGGACAGTAGTCTATGTTTGTATGTAAAATGAAGCCTAACAATTAACTCGGCCCACTAACTAGACGCACAACTGCGACATACCGGGCTTTCCCTGTGCAAATTTTCTTGGTTATAAAAATAGAAAATACGCTTTGTCGTTTGAAAAGACCATTCAATTTTGTATTCTCCCTATGGATCAAGATCCAAATCAAGAATAGTTACCAGAAACACTCTTGTACTACCCTGCGTAGCCTACTTAGGCAACTTTAACTTTTCATTGGGCATGAAATTCAGGGACTATATCGAGTACACTGATCAATTGCAGCTCTGAAAAAATTTTCCTACAGCTTTTTTTACAAATTACTTAGAAGAGAGCGTGTCACTCTGGTACATATATCTCCGCTTTTTTTTTCAAATTCGCGCGATTCTACTTTCCTCACAGGATCCACAGGAGATGTGTTTGTCGTTAGAACATCAAAACCCGTCGAAAACCTCTGAAAAAATGGGTTATTTTGATCGCGTTACAGTTTCGTTACACATTCTATAGACCGCAAAACCCTTCGGGCGACGTGTCGTGTGCCAGCGAGGATATGGCTTGCGGTTGTTGATTTTCAAAAGTCGATCTGGGTCAGATAAGCGAAGAAATCGTTTACAGTAGATTTATAAAAATCCCATTAGGTAATTAATCGTGCTAAGCGACAGGTATAGACATTTTTCAAGGTGAAACTTTAAATAAGTAATCATTCATTTATTCACACGAAACTCCTCTGGACCCTGTGCTTTCCTCCAGCGGTTTGGAAAATGTACAGTACGTAACATAAAAACTTTCCGGAAACATCCGAGAATTAAGAAGAAAATTATGGGTAGACTTCAGTTTACGCGTAAAATCATCTGATTCTTCCTCTTACGGATTTTTGTGCCGGAAACTCCGCACAATAGAAGGCAAGCATGCAAAGCGAAGAGATTTCCATAGAAAACACGAATAAGGGTTGAAATTCATTGTCTCGTGATAATCATTCCGATCGCAAAATAATAATATTATGGAATAAAGTATACGTGTAATTCGTGTCGTTTAGATATAAGAGTTCGAAAGATAGAAGGTATGCCTACATGAATACTCGATTGATACTAGATACAGGTCGTATTGCATGGTAAGATTTTGCTTCTTACACTATAATATAATTCTTGGCTGGGAACCTTATTTCTGTGGCTTCATGGGGACGCGTGACTGACCCGAAACAGTCATTCCTACACCTAACCATACCTACCCTGAAAACAGACGGTGACTGTGCATTCATGATCGCCGCACTTCAGCTGCACTTAGGCTTTGGAGAAAATTACCAGCAATCCATCTACCTAGCCTGTGAGCAGCCTCTTCGGGGTGCTATAGCGGCGGGGTGGGAAAAGGATGGAGACCTTGGGACTACTTCTCTGGAATTTGAATATCTGCATCGAAAAAGTCGATGCGAAATGCTGATTGGCGAAGATGACATTAGTAATGACGTCATTACCCTTGGCGCGTGTTTTTCAGTGTTTGTTTACATTAGGGCCCGTTTCCGCAGGCTAGCTGATTAGCGAAAATCTGACAGCTCAGTCCACTGGGCGCCACAAGGGAATTGGAGGTGGAATTCAAATTCCAGAGACGTACTTACAACCTCTCCTTCCTTTTCCCGCCCCGCCGCCAGAGCGCCCCGGCAGGCTACTCTAGATCTCTTCCCAGGGCAAGTCTTCTCATTTCACTTTTTATCTTTTTACTGCACACAAAATATTGTCTGTGAGACCATTGATTTAACTACATCTTTCTAATATGACCTTATATGATGGACTGAAAAATGTAGGGGGCAGTGTTGCGTGCTCAATTACAAACTACCTCTTCATTGGTCATTCTTCATATCTTGGTCAGTGTTGCATAACACCTCAATGACCCACACAACGGACTGTTTAAAACGATCGAGTGGGCGCTGCCTTGACACATATCGCATCACCACAATGGCGGCGCATCTTTTGTTCAAGTTAGGCCAGTTCAGAGAAAACGGAGAATTCATTGACGTTCGTCTGAAGGTAGATAAGTCCATCTTTCCTGCTCACCGTAATGTTCTCGCTGCTAATAGCGACTATTTCCACGCAATGTTCACCAACGGAATGAAGGAATCAAACCAGGAAGTGATTGAGCTCAAAGATGAAAACATTTCAGCAATGGGCCTTAAGATCGTAATAGATTCCATCTACAGTGGAGAGCTCCTCGTTAACAAGAAAAAAGTGTTTGAAGTTCTCACAACTGCCAACCATCTGCAGATGCCAATTATTGTTCGACAGTGTCTTGATTTCTTGGACAAGGAGTACATTCAAGGTTGCATTGACATCCAGACGTATCTTCATCTTCTTGCATTTGCTGATTTGCACGGACTTAAAACCCTAAAGGAAGCTGCGCAACGTAAGATGGCATCGTTGTACAAGGAGGTCTGTGAAAGTGAAGAATTCTTGTCCCATATTGACGCTGATCAGTTCTTAAATCTTCTCAGCCGAGATGACCTTAAAGCTCCATCAGAGACATTCGTCTTCAAATCCGTGATGCAGTGGATCAAACACAAGAAGGAAGAGAGGATGACAGTCGCAACTAAAGTTATCGGAGCGGTTCGTCTGGGGCTGGTCGACACCAAGGATGTGGTTGAACAACTGAACACAGAGGAAATGCAGCGAGTGCCAGAAATTCAAATGCTTATGTGTGAAAAACTGCTGCATAGCAACATGCCTTCGCCCAACTCGAAGTTTGCTGTCGAGAAAACAAGGCCACGTTCAATGATCCCGGTAAGTACATAAGAACTTCAGTGATTTATAACAAAAAGCTATTGATCGTGACTCAGTGTTTCTGATAAGTAATGAATATTTTGTGTAAGCCGCCTGGTTGAAACAAATGACGTTATCTATCGTGCCTCTGTGCAAGCACCGACACGGTTCATTTATCCTCTACATCTTTCTGCTGCGCTTCACATAATTTAATTATCACACTGCCACGCCGATTCGGTTCCCTCATAAAAAATTGGATCATTTTGCAACATCAAAAGGCAGTCAAAGTACTGTTAAAGAAAGCTGTCACATGACTTGTATTTGTACAGGTAGCCTAACCTCACCAGTGAGAATTTGAAGTTATGACCTGTAATGCTTCTATCAATTGATTCCTCACTCTAAAGCAAATTCTTTGTTCTGTCATTTGTGTCCAGTGATACTTAGTACTGAGAGCTTTATTTTTACGTCTATCGTAAACGGCAATTCAAGTTTACAGTTCCACATATTTGGCAATGAAGTAACTCTTACGGATTAATCTGGCATGAGGCTACTAATTTTTGCATGGATATGATAAACAGTAAACTGACAAATAGAGGGCGGAAAAGTTCGCCCCTTGTTAGAAATTGCCGTTTGCCGTTTCTAGTAAACGTGAATTTAAGCCGACTCGCTAATATATCTAGTGTAAGAATTAGGCTATAAACTGGGCTCGGAGTTTCATGTTGAAATCAGCCGTTCTCTTCAGATTTCGCAATGAATCTTCAGCATTCATGAAATCCGCGAAGCATGACTGAAAAGAAAAGAATTTTGAGCGTCCATCATGAATGTCAGACTGAATAAGCTTATGCAAAATTACATTTTTGATAACATGTACTCTTTGACTATCTATATGGCATAAAAAGCGAAGGTAGTTTTTAAACTCCTCAGTGCAATTTCCTCCATGTCAGACCAGGAGCGTCAGACACTCATTATTAATGTCCATTATGCCGACATTGTCAGGTAAACAATATGAGATCTAGTATGTTGTTACCGCGTGTAGTCGAGACAAGGGATGAAAATAAATTTGTCCACGTGCGGAGCCCAGAAGGCAGATCAGTGAACAGGCTCGGTTTACCTCACAGCCGGCATCTCACTTCACCCATCCCCGCGGTCAATTTGCACTTTCTAGCTCCTTCTCACCCTATATGGACCTCGATGAATCTCACATTTGAGATCCTGTTCGCGGGCTGCGGATTGAAGTCGGCCGAAATCCACAGTACTTTACCAACAAATTGATCGCATGTTTGGCTTAATTAAAGCTGTCCAACTTTGATCAGAGTTCGTGGGATCTGTATCAGGAACAGAAGAAAATGCATTGATTACACTGGCTGTGATCAATAAATTATATTAGCTCGAGGGAAAAATAAATCTTTTCAATTTATAACAACAATTTTTTGTAAGAGGAATGAGGCCCACAAATTAAGAACAACGTAAGAGGGGTGCAAACGTGGCTAGAAGCTCATAATCATCCGTCTGGACAAATAATTCATCCTCCAGTATAAAAACGGCCAATATGCAGCCTGCTGGAGCTGCGTTGCTAGATCTTACTATATTCATGATCATGCACTGTACACCGCATGTATCAGTAAAATGTTGCAAATTTAAGTTTTTGGAATTTTTAAAGCAAAGTCGAAACACCTCCGCCTCCCAGATTAAGATCTAGTAATTGAGGCTCGTGCCAAATAGGAGAGTGTAATTTCAGTAAGGTTTTTGATTTATACTACTACACGAGAATTTTCTGCAATTTGATTGGCTTAGAGCAGTGGTATTTCAGCTTAATTTGAAATACCTACATGTGAAAATTACAAACCTTTTGTGGGTAGTAGTATAAACAGATAATAGCATGATTTGTACGTGATATTTGGCATAAATACTACTTTTGATATTTCAAAATTGTCTCAAATTTCACCAGCCGTTAGGTGAGTGAAATTTCGTATAACAATTTTGAAATATCACTCGTGGTATTTATGCCAAATATCACTACAAATCATGCTATTACCTATACAAACAGATTATTAAAAAAAAAACCGAGCCTGCATCTATTGGACCCCTATAGGCCACTTGCACTAAGAGGTCACGTGACCAATGCTTCCTTTAAACTATGAGTTGAAATCCTGTTGATGACAAACATTGACAGAGCACATAAGCGGAAACGCATTTAACGGGGATTTTTTATGGCACTTTGTTTTTTCAACAAAGTAGTATGATTTGTATTGACCGCCATGTCGGCATACTCTTGCCCTCCAACATGGCGGCCAAAACTACTTTTTGCTTATATCTTGTTAAACGTTTGATAGTAACGCTCAGGTGTGCTGTAAACGTTACCAACGTTTTCTTTGAAGTTTAAGAGCAAAATTTGTGTTCAGAAAGAGGTTATTCATAATTTTAAAAATCACATTTTGGTCTCGTGACTAGCTAGAAACTTACTCATTTTAGAAAATGGCGCGGGTTTGAAAAACCAAATCACTATTTTTTTTGTTTAAGATATGACCCACTAATCGTTTTTTGAAGGCAAAATCATATAACTTTCATTTTCATACAAACGATGTCACATGACTTCTTAGTGCAAATGGCCTATTGGGTCTTCCTTTTTAGCTGACTATAATAAATTTGTTGTAGTTAATTTTTTATCTCAGGTAATCTTTATTTTTCGTTGTTTCAACTTCATTAGTATACACTACCATACCCCAAAACAAAAGGAAAACAAAAATTACCTAAGATAAAAAATTAACTACAACATATACAAAGCCTGTAATTCCGGGAGAACGACTCTGAAGACACTTACTATTTTTAAAAATAAATGAGCAAGAGTCTTTCATCAGCCGAGTTTAAGTTAACGTGTTTTGAAATTTCACACGTTTCGCGTTTGGCCTTCATCAGTTTAAAGCTATTATTTTACTTTCCGTTCTATTTCAGGTACTTGTTGCAATTTTCCCTGGTCAGTCTACCCCGCAAAAGAGAGAAGATTCCGTTGCCAGTGAAATGCAGTATTTTGATGCCGAAACAAAATCATGGAAACCGTTTCTGTCTATGGCACGACTGGTTCATGCAACTGAATGCATTTGTGCTGAAGTTGTAGGCAATTACTTGTATGTAGCTGTAACAGAGGAGCGTTCTGATATTATGTATCGATATCACACGGTTAGAAATGTGTGGGAAAGACTTCCACATTTTCAAAGCAACTACTTCCGTGTAGGCTGCATGAGTTCAGTCAATGAATATATATATGTATTTAGTAACTATGGTCTGCTTCAGAGATATAGTTTGGCTCAGAATGATTGGCAATATGGTTCCAATTTGCCTTTTTTAAACAAAACAGACAACGACCAAGGAAAATTGGTACATGTGACGGCAGTGAGAATGAGATCTAAAATATATGTTCTTCATGGATGTTACAAAGAGGAAAAAACCAATTATCGCGAAACCAAACACCGCAGCAGTCGTAAGGCTGATCCAAAACCGGCCGTTGTTCACTGTTTTGACCCTCTGAAAAATGTATGGAAGAAGAAGGCTTCAACTATACATCCCCACTTTAATTCCAGTCTGTTTGTAGATAATAACAAGCTTTATGTGGCTGGTGGATGGGTTACTGTTCGTTATGAAGATTCTTTCGGGTTCGCGACGGCTTCACGAGGTCGCCCTGCACCTATCGAAGTTTATAATGAAGAAACGGACTCGTGGTACGTCGTTGAGCAAAACCGCATTCCTCCAAACACCCTTGGTGCAGTAGAACTGTTGGGAGGGAAGGTTTATTTCATCATCAACAAATTTCCAATTGACAGTGGCATTAGAATACCACCAAATGAAGTGTACAAAATATCTTTACGGGAGTGGGAAAATTCACTGGAGAAAATTGATAGTAACGCAGCCTTGTGTTACCTATCAATAAAGAAAGAGATGTTACGCACGGTGCAGGCTGAAGCGTAGAGCCCGCGTAAGAAATTAGGTTTTACTAAATTTTCGAATTAGGTTTTACTAAATGGGTGCGCCTGAATTCTTCTTTTTCAGGTTCTTGAAAATATTCTTCAGCTCAAATTCAGCTAAGAAAATTCAGACCGCCACTTTTAAAAAGCAATCGGACGAAGCCATTTAGGTAAATAAGAATCATCAGGGACGGCGACCCCACTTTTTTAGAGGATTTTTTTTGTTCTAGTATGGGGTACGCACCAAGAGTAAAGGAGAAAAAAAAAAAGAAAAAAAGGCCGGTTTACCACGGATGAAGTTGGATTACCTGTAGTGTGATCGAGCCGGCGACAGGCACGAGGGAATCGAACAGGGCATGGGTATGTGCTTTAGTCGGGTATCGTTCTTCAACGTTCTTAGATCGATGGATAACTTCGCCGCTTCAATTGGGCCATTTAGTGAAGAGATTTTACCAAAAAATAATCAGCAGATAAAACCTGCAGGAAACATTTTGTGTTTACGCGTTTTTAAGATTTCCCCAGCCTGCGCTTCCTTCCCAGTTCCCACACTCGGAGGGCTTGTATAACAAGTAGGGCAGTGTACTAAGGGTGGGATATATGAAAGGCCGAGAAATATGTATCAAGTGTACAAAACGTCCATGATATTGCTGTAAGCGTATGAAGTACCTGTCATTTTACAGTTTATCCAGGTTCAGTTTTTTTAAAAGATATATCTTATGGAGAATGTTGAAAATACGATTTCTGAGCTTCTAGATTTCCAAATTATCTGAGGAAGGATACCTCCATACCCCTCTGCAAACTTGCGCCTTCGGCGCTCCTCTTCAAGCCACCACTGAGTTGAAAATACGCTCCGCCGTCACTGACCATTCTCTTGATAGAGGAGGCGCCTTTTCAGGTTCCGCTTGATATGAACTTTACAATTTCAGTTAAAGCCTCCCATCTTATCAAATTCGTTCTAGGTGTGGCAATCGTTTCAGTTTGGTGTACATATTGATCAAAATGCTGAACTGAATTAATCTTTCGTACTCCTCCTTGCGTTCACCCTTGTACTAAGACTTCTTTTTGTCCGGTCCGAACAGTCCGGCATTTCTCTATTTTTCAACAACTTTGTCAACACAACTGATCTGTTCATTTTCACGACCAACGACCACTTGTCGTTGTGCTCTTCCCTCGAGACAAGACATATCAGCAAGCATGTGCTCTCAAAATTGTCGGGCAACTGAAAGAAACTAAATTGAATGACCCAGTGGGTTGCTGTATAAGCCGGCTGCCTCGTTTATAAACCGTTCGATTTAAATTTGGCACATTCATTAATATTCACTAAATATGTATATGTCACTAAATTCCAAGTGCGAGAAACGTAACGTTTCTCTTCCATAAAGTTTTTAGAGAATGATAAAAATACTTATATGCTGCCGAGTTGGACTCGGGTAAGGGAAACGTTCGGCGAGGGTACGTTGCAAATATCTTACCTATCTTTCCGAGATTTATTGAGGCTTAGTATTTTTAGCTAGATCGCAAAAGATAGTGCATATACATGCACATGTGTCCCCTGCAATTAGTACAAGCCCACTCGAGGCATATAGTGTGGAGACACTCCAAATAGTAATTATAATGTAAATGACAATCATCGAAACGTTACTGTGATAATTTTTGGTTTCGATGAAGGGAATACTATAGGATAGCCTTTATGTTAATTTATAAGGTCTATAAGGGGCGTAGATTACTACTGGGTATTTTAAAACTAAATCTTTTCGGTATAAATATATGCACTTGTGCATTTTTTTGCTTTTTAGAAACAAGTCAGTAGCTAGAATTCAATATATTGTGTTGAACACTTTCAAGTGCAATAAAAGAATTAACCATCTATGTTGAAACTGAATTCAGGTTTCAACAATTGTAATTATACTGCAAATGACAATCATCGAAACGTTACTGTGATAATTTTTGGTTCCGATAAAGGGAATATTATAACTAAGATAGACTTAATTTACTGATGTTAAATTATTAGGTCTATAAGGGGCGTAGAGTACTACTAGGTATTTTAAAACTAAATCTTTTCGGTATATATGCACTTGTGCATTTTTTTGCTTATTTAAAACAAGTCAGTAGCTAGAATTCAATATATTGTGTTGAACAATTTCAAGTGTAATAAAAAAAATTAACTATCTATGTTGAAACTCAATTGTGTTATTGCTCATTCCAAATGACGAAAATATTCTAAATTTTATCATGCTTTCAAAGATTCTTACAAAAAAGAAAATTCAAACTAAGGAAAATATTAATTAAGCCTCATACATTTAGTCGCCCAGTATACAGCGCAAAGGGTGGACAGGTTGCTGATTGACCCCTATGAATACAGATTCTCTTCAATATGGACTTGTTCCGACAGTGACAACTTAATTCAGAAGGGCAATAGGATCTATTTTGACTAACAGACTTACAATTGCAACTTTAATTTCACCGTTCCTTCTTTTTTCTAGCTTCTCTTTGTCTTATTTAGTTTCTCTGTTTTCTCTTAATCCCTTAGTTCTCACTATTTTGTTCTGTATTTGATTACTTCTCCTTGTCTTTCTGGTTTTAGACTTTCTCCCTCCTTTCTCTCTTTTTCTTTCTTCTATTAATCGCAGTTTCCCTTTTTTTAATACTCTATCTCTTTACCTTTATCTGATTATTTAGGTTTTGCTCATTAACATGCAATTAACTCTAAAGGTATAGAGATCAATTATAAAAGAACAACAATGTTAAGTTGGGGACAAGATGTCCGAGCATTAAAGTGCTGATTCAAACGATTTCAAGAAGATAAACTGTTGCAATGTAAACAGCGTCGACGCCATATGTGAGTTGAGTTTGTTTTTGGTTCTCTTCTTTGCTCCGAGAGGTTTTTCTCCGGGTACTCCGGTTTTCCCCTCTCCTCAAAAACCAACATTACCAAATTCCAATTCGACCAGGAATCCGGTAGGCGAAGAACCACTTTGTGGATGTGGTACCTCCAAATCATTATTATTATTATTATTATTATTATTATTATTAGATGATTGACGTGCATCTGTCAATGGACCCAAACACCCGACAAAGTATTTCATAAGTTGCTTATATCATTTCATATGCAGAAACAAACTCTAAGGCTTACAACTTAACCAAATCTTTGATCAAGGAAGTTTTTTTTTTGGAGAGGGGGGAGGGGGTGCAAAGCGATTTGGAGAATTGTGCGTACCTCTGAAAAAATCTTGGCTACGCCCCTGATCCTTCAACTCGATCATTTTCTGGTTCGACTCTTTCATTCCACAAGCAAACATGGCGTGGAAATAATCGCTACCGGCAGCGAGCACAATGCGATGAGCAGAGAAAACTTCTTCGCCCACTTTTAAACCCACGTCAATGAATTCCCCTTGCTCTCGAAACTGAGCACATTTTGACGAGAGAATCTCAGAATTGGCGACGCTCCTTAAATCGGCGAAAAATCATTATTCCCAAAACTAGTCGGATTGCATGATCGCGTGATCTTGTATCCTATCAGTTACGATACTGATGTTGACGTGAGTTATGAAGCGTCACGGAAGAACCTGAATATTTATTTATTTTTTTTACTAGCTTTTCTGGACACAGACCTGCCCAGAGGGAATGTGCACGAACTGGACTCAGGTCCCATGCGAGGTGCCATCCCTACCCAATCCTACAACCAATAAAGGTTGGCCACACCACTGGGGTCTACAACCCCTACTCTTTTCGAATAGTGATGTGGGTTCTTTTGCGTCCCACAAGAACAAATCAGTAAAAGTGCTGTGAGACCGGAACTACGGTTTTTCGTCCTTATCCGAGAAGACTAGAAAGTCTAACCATTTGTAGATGTCATTACAAAGGCAGCACTTTCTTCTCAATTATTTGAAAACCCAGAGTGTTGGTCCGGACAGGGTTTGAACACGTGACCTCCCACACTGTAATTTAAAAAGATCTGTTTCAGCCCCAAAGTGTCAATTCAGCCCTGCAGGTCAAAGTCTGATTCAGCCCTTCCTGGAGCCATTTGAGCACAATTTAGGCCAAAAAAGCTCTATCAGAAGGCTATTCCAGCCCACGGTAGGGCCCATTTCAGCCCTGGGACCAAATCAGCCCTAGCTAATTGGACTGTATTGGCCCTGATTTAAGGGAGCCAAATTAGACCCAAAAATAGGACTCTATTTTACTCACCGAAACGGCCCTATTTTTAGGGCTAAAACAGATCTTTCTGATTTAGAGTGCACTCGGCAGACCGGCGCTCTCTTAACTTAGCTAACCAGGCGGCGGTTAAAGGCGGTTAAGTAGTTTAATATGTGAAAGCTCATGCATTGTACAGCTGTGTTTATATGATTTTAAAATGAATTTGAATTCCTCTTAAAAACACTTTGCAAAAATATGCTGTAATGCCGTCCGACATCTCGATGATGCAGCATCATTATTTATCGAAGCAGAATGAAGGATGTTTCAATGTGGTTTGAATTTATGAATGGGTAAATGCAACGAAAGGGACACTCTCTTTGTTTTGTGATCATGTAAATATAATCTTAAGACGGATTGAAAGAGGTTTGTTAATAAAGACCCGTCAATCAAGTATTCGAAGTTTGCCCGCTCGGGATTTCATTAGCAATATAATAAATCCTAAATTGACCAAGCTCAGCTGCAAGCTCCTTCAGTCAGGATAGCTGAACTGAAAGCATCGGTCGATAAAAGGTAAAAAAAATTTAAAAAAAAAGAGGAGAGAAAAAAGAAACGAACTGGCTAATATTCAGCTATCTTGACCTCATTCTTGGTCAATAACGCATATATAACCTACTCTGAGTAGTTGTCTCTGGTCGAAGGACGTTTGGTGTCGGTCCCAACAGTATCCATCTATGGGGCCGGGTAGAGGGGTAGAGGTTGACTGTCTTAAGAGAATGAACTGTTTGGAAGAACCTACGGTTTAAAGGTTCCAATGAATAGAAGGTCTAACAATTCCCTGACCAGTGCTTAATAAAATAGAATCAATGTAATTTGCTCGTCTTGCAATGAAGGCGGCCAGATGTGGAGCCTACAAAGTATTGGAATATAAGGAAATGAAGCACACCCTACCACCCACGGTTTCCAAGGTATGGCTAGCGCCTTGCGCGTGCTTACATTCATATCACCCGGGCAGTGGCAGACATGGAACCACCATTGATAGCTATTTCTTGCCAGAGGCCGCGCAGCTATGTAACCCAAAACCACAAAGCAAAATTGGCTTTTAGGATGAAAGCCCGATCGCGAGTCTGAAACTGTAACCGGTATAGCGCTAACCTGCTTTCGAGTTACTGGTCGGGTAATAAACACCGTGTATCAAACTGTTCCTCATAGGGTTAAAGGGCAACACTGGTAAACTGACCGAAAAAGAAGTAAACGGCAACATAGTACAAGCTGATTAACTTGTGTGGTTGATCAGAGACAATTTATTTAAATTTGAGAAATATTGAGTAGTACACTTAAAAGAATAAATGAAAACCCACTCACCATAGTATTAATTACAATTCACGTTGAGAGTATGAAATTAATACTAACAAATCTAGTCCAAGCCTACTCTGTTCGCGTAACGCCCTCTATTATGGACTCATTACGATGTTCATAGCCTTTCCTGAAGAAAGAAACATGTGGCCTAGACAAATCGTAGACAGCTGTAGCCGGCAAATAATTGTTACTCTTGATAATTTATGGGTTTGTTTTAGGTTTTTTGGACGATATATGATTCAAATTCATATCAGAGGAGCTCTACCTCTTCAAAACTTTTAAGTTTTAAAACTTTAAACAGAAGCATATAACAGGGTTATATGCTTCTGTTTAAATCATTACCTTATATCTTGATCCCGGAATGTATTTTCTACAAAACCAAAAGCAATTTAAACAAACAAGTTTTACTAGAATATTAAGAAGATGACATGCTTAAGGTCTCGGTAAAGGAAAATGAGGTGCCCACAGAAAAAAATTCTAGTCGCGCGACTATTTTCGCTACAAAGGCAAGTTATATATCAAATTAAAACTAAAAGACTAATAATTACCTTATAAAAGATTTTAGTTCATCGAATTTCAAAAGGCGCTTAAGTTTTTTGCTCTCGAACGCAGAGGTATCGAGTTTACTTCTGAAGCTCCAGCCCTTTCGCGTTGTTAAATATTCACGTCCTTTTTATCGCATCTGATTGACAGATAAAAGACCTAAAAAAGGGTGTGAGGAAATTTGCATATGTCTCGTATTAGCGGAATTATTGCATTTCAAACTAAAAAGTCGAATCTCGAGCGCGATTAACGCAAAGAAACTGACACAAAATGAGTTACAAAGGGAAATCGGAAAATTCCTCACACCCTTTTTGAGTCTATATCATTATCCATCGTATCTGAAAGTTTCAAAGCGATAGCTTAAAACCCGGTCCCGACTGGAGGTCGGAGAATTTTTATTTTTGCGTCTGAAATAGAGTGAGAGAAAATCAGCTCTAAAGATTTAGCGTGAGGTCCACGCTTTGCTAGTTAGCTCAGAAAAGGCTCATTTTAGAAGGGTTAAAAAGCACTTTCTGATTTTCTTTTTCTGGCAAAATAAAATTTAGGACCCACTCATGCCAAAAATCCAAAAAAAACAAAATCGAGCAATGTACTAAAATTTTCATTTACCGAGACCTTCATCACACTTTTAAGTGAGTTTAACTCTATGATAAGTGGTCGCTTGGTCAAAGAAGCAAGTACTAAAAGACACCCAAGGTAGCCCATGACATTCTCTAAATAAAAGGGATAGCAGGCCTGACGGTAAAAACAGAAGCCATGCTGAATGCAAGAGTCACGCGCGAAAGAGGAAAAATTGACGACGAACCCAATCCTAAACCTGTAACCGGAATACACTGCTGTAACAGTGCAGGTACACTCAATCTTTTGTTATAGGAGGTCTCCTATTTAGCTGCCAGCTACCACAGTCCCGAGAGAATCGCCAGCAATTCACTGTAACTAAATGGATTCTCTGGCAAGCAGCTAACCTTTATTTCAAAAGCAGCCACTTGTCCTTTACCTTATATCATAGCGATTAGGTGAGCTATTTTACGAAAATCGGTTCTTTTCCGGGGTACTAGTTTCTTGAAAACTAAAATCTATATCTCCTTATTTTATTTCCCCAGGCCTACTTAGGTAGTTGAGGAAAACTTTGGGCAAGCAGAGACGTAAATAGACACTCTGTGTAAAGCTTTCGACGAGTGTCTGATTGGACATTTTGGACGCTTTTAACCTTAAAACCTTCATTCAGATGTTAAGTTTTTCCTGTTAACTGGCACGGGACACAAAACTGCATTTTTGGCCATCTTACCTAAATTTTCCCACTCATCCAAAGAAACAGGAAACACCTCTCCTGGTGGGATCCTAATTCCACTGTCTACTGGAAAATTGTTGATAATATAATATATTTCCTCCCTTCAACTTCTATTGCTCCAAGGTTATTTGTGGGAATGTGTGGTTGGTCTACAACAGACCAAGTATTGTTTTTCTCATCATACACTTCAACAGAACCTGTTCCACCGCATGGTTCAGCATTATATCTATCGATGGAGCACTTTCCCCCAGCTACATAGAGTTTATTGTTTACTACTAAGAGGCTGGAGCCAAAGTGACTGGTGCTTGTGGAAGCCTTTTGTTCCCACACATTTCTGTTTGGATCAAAACAAAATACGTCCGCTGCCTTTGGCTCCCACAAATACTTACTTAATCCATAATGGTCAGTATCACGCCAAATTTGGATTCCTTGTCCACGAAGAACGTAAATACACGATTTATAAAGTACCGCTGCTCGATTACCAAATGAACTCTGGGGCAAAGGAGGATTTTGCATATATTCCAGCATGCTTTGGTGCAATTTCGTTACGCTTGTTATGAAAATGGCGGGTCGAAGGCGGTCGTCTTCCCGTTAATGAGTGATCCTCCTTTCTCTGGGGCATAGTACTTTGAACACTCGATTTAGCGACACATTGCCACTGATTCGTAGGAATATGATATCTGTAAGGCGTCTGAGATTGGTATATCGCGTATAAGTGGTCGACGACACTGCAAAAACAATTGATTTGATTGGCTAATCCAGCAAAAGATGGGAGTATCTCCCATGTGTTTTTTTACTATGTGATAACGATAATTAACAAAATCATTCTCTCGTTTTGCTGCTGCGTAAATGTCATTACCAACATATACGGCACAAAAACATGCTGTTGCCTCAGACAGCTTTGCCATTGAAACCTAAAACCAGATAGAGATCATTAGCACTCAATACAGAAAAACAGCTAATTTTTTCAAACTTAAAACATCTTTGTATGACATGGCCTTGTTCAAAAACGACCCCAAATGATAGACATGAACTATCTTGACCAAAAAATCCATTGAATGATGTCGCTGATTTTGGTAAATTTGCAGAGCCTAACTCAAGAAGCCATAAAGGGGTTTAAGCTTAGTCTTGATAAAACTGATCAGTCAGACTGTGTTCTGTTCTTTACTGATTTCACTTTAAGCAAATTAAATGTGGACTTAGGCAGCCCGCGTCATTTGCCTTTTCCTTCGACACGCCGATACACACACGCCACAACAACACTAGATTTCTCTAAGCCTCATCAAGTGCTCGCCGATCCGTTTAGTTTTTATCTAGCTCCTGGTCAATGTCATTGATATTTTCTAGGTAATACTTTATTGACTTCAAAATCTCGGCAGAAAAAGTGGAGTGAGATCTTTGAAACTTATGATATTGTTTACTCTGGGGTACGTTTAATGTAGTAGTAGGGGTTTGTCCTTACCGGCTTCATAGATCTTGGCTTAGCCTTCTCTAAGGCGAACTTAGAGCTGTTTAAAGGCCAGTTGTCGGTTTATTTTGCCGGAAAGGAAAAGTTGCCGCATGAGATTTTTCGCGTGACTCACGTCTGGAAGAATCTTCGTTTGTCACGTAAAGTATCTCAAACTCATGACATACAGTAAACTCTCGCTGATAAGAACCTGTGGAGCAAGAACATCCTGGCAGAAATTTGCCACTTTAATACTAACAAATGAGAACCTGCTTAGTCAAGCAAGATCATGCAGGTTTTTGGGTTTTTATGATAAAATTTAGTATATAATCAGTTTTGTTGAGGTTATATAAATAGTAAAATTGTGAAGAAATAAAGAGCAACGCTTATTAAAACATGACGTTTCGGCGACGACATGTCAACATTATAAAATGGAAATGAAAGAGACTATGAAGCGATATATATGAAAAACGAAGTCTCTTTCATTTGGATTTGATAATGGTGACATGTCGTCGCCGAAACGTCATGTTTTAATAACGTTGCTTTTTATCCTTTTGTGTTTAAGAAAATCTGTCGTTATCAATAAATAAAAAGTTTATTTTTCCTGGTAATCACCAATCTATTATCTCCTTCATAAAAATTAAGAAACTTATTAGAAACCTACTAAGCCTAAATTGCCAATACGTACCCAAACTAAAGAACCAGTCTTTGCCACAAGAAAAGTGGGTTCTTAATTTTAGCAGGTGTTACTGTAACTGCTTATTTTTGTCGATAATTGATAACAATAATTCTTTTAACAGGGCCTTCGCATAGTTTATCCTACTTTGATTTATAATACTCGGAATATTGGGTAGAGGTCATGAATATAAGGTTTGAAGCTGCCGGGAGCAGTTTCCTCTTATGATCTTTCTATGAGAAGCTTATGCCCTGTAATCAGTTCATTACAAATGGGCACCAATCAATATAGCCGATTACTTTAGCAGAAGAAGAGCGTCCAGAATGTAATTGGGCCCACTTCCTCTGCTCTTTCTCAGTTGCACTCCTTGATCCTCTGCATTACTGAGACGAAAGTCTCTCAAGGAGGTGTAAATTCGGCTAGGAATGACGGCATAACTGATGTAGAAATGAATAAATTCTTTCGTTTTAGAGCGTATTTTCTTGCACATGGAGGACTTCTTGCATTTGACATCTCACATCGTGTACTGAGTAATCTCGATCTAAAACAATTGTGACGTCATTGTCAAGTGAAATTCATTCCGATCGCAAAACTAGAAATCATGATATTATGTGCCACTTTAATTTTTGTTTTTACCACATTTTGAAGTCATCTCTGATGTATTTTAAACAGACGCGCGACAAAATGGAATCCTTATTTGTTAAATCGACCATAGAAATGACGTCAAAATGTTCAAAAGTCAAGTCAGAACCACGAGTCGCAGGAAAGTCGGGTTTCACTGCAAAGATCTGAACATTTTGACGTCATTTCTATGCCTGACAAGAGTATAGACCATGGAAAATAGTTGTCGACTTGACTTGCTTTTTACAATAACGTAGACAGTTTTTGGACGTCAATTTCCGTTGAAGTTTCTCGGAGAATCGTGCGCGCAAGAAAGAGAAAAACAAAATGCGACACCATCACGTCTCATCAACTATAGACGTGTATAGATAGAAAGGAATGGGGATCAGATGTAAAGGGTACAAAATGGAGTAACTGAGTAGAAGTAGTGGGTGTGAATTTGCTACGAAGAGCGAGAAAGGATTATCATGGTATGGGTTACAAATGGTTCAGTGTATAGTGCATGGGTGGACGACAAATGACTGTAATGTGTGCAAGAAAAGAGGACAGATTTAATAAGTGTACAGGTGAGCGTGAATTTGATTATCAGCGATAGGTAGGATCAGTGTTGAGCGCCTCCTGGTGGAAGATGAAAAAAGTAACGTGTGAGAAAAAGGAGTACAGATGTAAAGGAATGTGAGCAAATGAACGTAAGGTTGATTATCAACACCTTGGTAAAACAGGGAAGCTTACTAAGGGTACGGTAACTTTGAAAAACTGGTGAAAGACAAGCGCGTGTTACGTGTGGAATCGGGGCTTGTTTTCTAAGTACTGCTATCAGCGTATTGGTGGGACAGGAAGGTTTACAACAAGATTGACAGAATATGTGTGGTTCAAGTACAGATGTAGGAGAAGGGGAGAATGCCAGCCGGGATGTGAAGTACTCTCGTGAAAGGGAGTAGATACGGTTCAGAGATACGGGTACTGGAAGTGGAGAGACGCATATTTAGGTGATTGGTGAATATGTGGCAAGTAGGAGCATGAATTACGGAGAACGTGGAAGATAGACGACTTAGAATTGTAATATATACTGAAAAAGATGATTGTTTAATTTAGAGGCAGAACCCTGCAGCTTGTTTGTAACAAGATACCTTTTTGGTTCTCAGCAGTTGGAGCCTGAAGTTGGCGAAGAACTTTGCAAACTGTGGGATGTTGTTCAGGCCAGTCCCAATGGACGCACTCCCAGGTCAACCAACCACACCAACAGACTTGGCAAGCCATCTGTACCAACACAGCCAGATCCCCACCCCTCCCCTAGTCAGTGGCAAGCCACACAAGCAAATGTTGGTTACCCCGCTATCCAACAAGTGTACACTACACACATCCCCTCCCTTCCTATTCCATCCCTGCCCATTATCCTCGCCACCAAGTTGTGGCAGCCCAGCCCATGACTGTAGATGCTCACGCCGCTCTTCCGTTTGGAGCTCACGCTCAGTCTCAGTTTCGTTAAGCGGCTCCTCGATACCCAGGAACCATCGTGCAGCCGCCACACAAGAGGACGGTGGGGCCGCCACCACGCGGCACAAGAGTGCCATATAATGCTTCTCGGAAATAATACAGTTATGTAGTAAAGTAATACAACGGAAGCCTGTTAACAACATAAATTATAATAACGTTACCAACTAACAGCACTGGGTCACACGGTGCGCTCCGGGTATGGTTATAGTATATTACACATGCACACAGCCATATCCCATACCCAAAGTACTAAGAGAGGCTTTACGTTGTGTTTGTGGTGGGGTATAGGGAAGCTTTGATCCTTTATTCTTTCCATAAAACCTACGTAGTCGGTAGAAAGAGTGGATGCCGACCAATATACATCACCTCCCTTTTGTAGAAGTGGGTCTGTTAAGCAAATTGATTCATCAGGTAAGTGAATCATATTAATTAACGACTACTTTGCACTGGTTTGAAAGCCGCAAGTTGGCAGGACGTGATGCCGCCTGAGAAGGAAAATGTGAATTTTTTCGAACTTTGAGTTGTTTTATTACTGTCAGCAATCTGTCTAGAATTTGACAAGAAAGTCATCTATCAAAAAAGTAAGGTTCACGGTCAATTCACAGCACTGGTAACTTGGAGGTGATCGGCTGCGACAAGAACTTCAAAAACGTTTTCATCGTTGACTTGAAGATCTCCGCTGTAGATGGAATCCATGCAGTACGATCTTCAGGGCAGCTGTTGACATGCTTTCATCTTTGAGCTCGATCACTTCCTGGTTTGACTCTTTCATTCCATGAGCAAACATGGCGTGAAAATAATCGCTGCTTGCGGCAAGCACAATGCGATGAGCTGAGAAAACTTATTCGCCAACTTTTAAATGAACATCAATGAATTCACCTTGTTCTCGAAATCGAACACACTTTGACAACAGAATCACAGAATGGGCCACCATACTGAATCAGAGAAGAAACTGGTTGCATTGCGTGATCGCGTGATCCTGTATGCTGTAAATCAAGACACTGATCAGGCGAGCTATAAAGCGTCACTGAAGGCCTGATAAGTAAGTTCCGAAATATGTGCTACATGTTTTTTACCTTCCCATTCCCCATTCTCTTAAATAAAGAATACAAAGTTGATGAAACCTGCCCTAGCCCATTACATTACTTTTTGAATGAAGTGAACTCCTTTCAAATAGATAGGTTCTGTCTAAAGCAACGGGTGCGACCATGATGGAAATAAAAGGCAGTCTGTGACTGCATGTGGCTACTGTTTTAGTTTTGTAGAATATATTGCAATAAAAAAGGAATGCATGAAATGAACAGCTGTAGTTAACGCCAAAATTGAGAAAAAAGGATGGCCTGGTTTGAACAGAGTTTGTTAGTATTGCACTTTATTAAATAACATTTATTTAGGTTTACATTAAAAAAAACGAAACAAAATAAGGGGTACTTAGCAAGATTCAAACCCGGCACCATCGTTCTGTGACTGCATGTGGGTGCTGTTTTAGTTTTGTGGAATTTATTGCAGTAAAAAAAGGGAATGTATAAACCAAAAACGAAAAAGAAAAAAAAAGAAAGAAGGAAAAAAAGAAAAAGCATGTCACAGGATTCGAACCAGGCACCATAGGCTCCACGCGACATCACCTTACCACTACACCACAAAGAATGATTACGAATTCTACACACGCATCACAAATGTTTTTATATAACGATTTTCCGCTTATTTTAAAGCTGTTGGTCCAAATCGCTTCCATTTTCTCTGCAAAATACTTCTGCCGTCGAGATGCATCGCCAAAAGCACTTTCTTTACCTGCTTTTCAAAGCGCGGCCACAATTTCAACCGGACCAAGATAGTGGGCTTCCTGTGCAAGTTTACGGACTTGCCGACTCACCGACTTACTCACAACTCCATGACATAGTGGCTACGCTCCCTAAAGGGAGGCAGTAGCCACAAAAACAAACAATAATGCTTTTTATTTTCATTGGTCCTTAGACCAAGTACTCTATTCCAACAAGCTCATCATCTAGTAAACCCTTGAAATGACCATAAGAAGGTTCAGATCACTCGTGATAGGCAGGCAAGACTTACATCTTGACTACTCTGTGTTAAGCACTTTGTGTATGTATAGGTGGAAACGAAAGAAAGGGGATATGATTCAAAGGGTGTAGTGCGGTGAAACTGAGAAGAAATATAGTGTAAATTAGTGAGAAGTGAGGAAAAGAATTGACATCGTATGGGTAGAACAGGAAGGTTACAAATGGTTCAGTGTATGCTACACAGGTGGAAGACAAAATGGTTGTCAGTAATGTGCGGAAGGAAGGAGTACAGGATGTAAGAAGCGTGCAGATAAGCGTGAAGTTGATAGGGTTTCACCATATTTTTTAATCAGTGGTGAGTTCACCCCTGGGGGGAGATGAAAGGAGTAATCTGTGAGAAGAAGGAGTACAGATGTAAAGTAATGTGAGCAAACGAACGTAAGGTTGATTATAAACCGGCATGGGTAAAACACGGTGATTTTTTAAGTAAGTAACTCTATGAAAAACTGGTGAAAGACAAGCAGGTGTTATGTGTGAAATCGGAGCTTGATTTAATTACGAGCTACTGCTATCAGCGTATTGATGCATTGGGCAGGAAGGTTTACAACTGGATCACGGGGACGTAAGGGTGGGAGACTTGGAGGTAGGGCGACGAAATATGTGTAGTTGAGGTACTGATACAGAAGAAAGGGGAGAATGCCAAGATGAAGGAAACTCGGGAAAGGATGTGGATGCTGTTAAGAGATACGGATTTTTTATTTTACTTTTTTTTAATTGTCAGCGGTCTGTCTAGAGTTTGGAGAAGAAAGGTCCACATACTCTACATTCAGAAAATACAAATACTTATCTCTTCAAAAGAGGAGATAGAATTTAATTGTTTTAAAAATTAAGGCCAAATTACCAGCTAGAGCATTGCATCACCAAGACAGAAAAAATGAATATAATACTTTTTATGCATTGGGTCAAAATTTACCTTGGTTAAAAAAAAAGTGACAACTGTGTGGTCTTTTGACCTAAACAAGCATATTCTCAACAAGCTACCGATTGTGGCTTAATAAATAGAAGGAAAGCTTTCTACAGACATTCCTCGATCGATATCATTTAATGACATCACAATCGTAAGAAATTTCTCTCCTAGGAAATTCCACCCTTGATGTAAATCAAATAAGCTTTCTAAAGATTTACCGCCAACTTTATGGGAATTTGCATGTTTATCACTTTTGACCGACTGATTGCAGCGTAACTGCAGAGCCAAAAAAAACAATTTCACTCCTTCTACGCTAGGAAAGTTGATTTAACTCTTGCGAACATAGAAGCTGAGGATTAAATCATCACTTTAAAGCTTTGAAAGAGAGAAAGGAGGGTTAATTACCGGGGCCTAGCCGAAGACTGGCACCGGTCATAAAATGCAACACGTTTCTGTGTTTTCAAAGTTACATTGTTAGGGATATATCGCTGACTGAGATATATCGCTGGCTCGTTACTTTTGGGAGTGTTCGCTGGGATATATCGCTGGTTCAGAAATTTGAAGTAGGGAGCAACGACTGTAACCATGTGGAATGGTTTAATGCGACTATATTTACCACTTATCAATAAATGAGATCCCTGTCTATTGCAAAATATTGTTACAGTATTCATCCTAGCGATGACAAAGCTTGGTCGACGTAGAACTGTGTACACTACGACAAAGCAAAAATCTTAACTTATTAAACTTGCATGCGCCAAGCTTTGTTTATGCGTTTCAATACCTTACAATTCGCACTCCTCACAGGAAACTTCGTCAAATATTTTCCGACAAACAATTAAAACTCATTAGGAGGAAGTCTATCAATGCTCTGACTTATGAAGCCTGACAAAATAAATATTTTCAAATAACCTTTGTCACGCAATATTTACGTTAGCGGGATGCGCAAATTCTCAACTGTTCAAAATGCGGGATTCCCTAACATTTTGTCTTTTCACATTATTCATTGGACGTTGATGTGGAATTTTTATGTTTTTCTCCTTGGTATTCTTAGCTACTTTGGATTCTTGTTGCTAAGAAATTACTTATTATTATGTAATCGATCTGAACAGGATTGGGAGTTGACTCATGTTAATGTATTGAACCCTCATCTATTGTTCTGGAGTTTTAATTACATGCGACCTTTGCTGCAACGCAGTCATGCTATGCGAACAAATTACTCTTTCCCTCCTCCTCCCCTTGCCCTTTCCTCTTTCCTTATTTGCATTAAACCATTGCTAGGGCGTTTTTATGCCCTCACCTTTACTGGACATAATTGTTTACCTTTGTGATTTAGAAGTATATTGAAATAATTCAAAGAAAATTAATTATTCATTAAATAGGCTTAGGGCCAAATATTAATTCGATTAGTTTTGGAACGGAATGGTTAATGCGACTATATTTGCCACTTATCAATAAATGAGATCCATGTGTATTGAAAAATATTGTTACAGTATTCATCCTAACGATGACAAAGCTTAGTCGCTGTTGCTGTTGAACCGTGTACACTACGACAAAACAAAAATCTTAACTTATTAAACTTGCATGCGCGAAACTTTGTTTGTGCGTTTCAATACCTTACAATTCGCACTCGCTACAGGAAACTTCGTCAAATATTGGCCGACAAATAATTAAGACTCATTACAAGAAAGTCTATCACTGCTTTAATTAATGAAAAACCAAAAAAGACTGTTTCACATAACCTTTGTTACGCAATATTTACGTTAGCGACATGCGAAAACTCTCAACTGTTCAAAATGGGGGATTCCCTAACATTTTCTCTTTTCACATTATTCATTACACCTTGTTTTCATCTCTAAAGAATATTTGCAATAAAAAAGATTTTCATGTCGCCCGACAAACTTGTTGATGAAAACGACCCTTCCACGTGGGTTGCCAAGACAAAAGTGGCCCCGGTAAAATTCACGAAGTGATTCTTGTTT